AGAGAGGGGGACCTGGGTCAGTAGAATGGGGGAAGGGTGATGCTGGTGGATCCTGGATGGAGAAGTCCCAGAGAGTATTAGAAAATGGATGTCTGTTCCCTCTCATAGGGATGAGGGAAGGAGTCACCACCTGAGCAGCTAGGGAGAGGTGTATATTTGGGTTTGTACTAAAGGTTGACTTTTCAACCTGAAATTCCCACACACGCAGTGGCAGAGGAATAGAGAGGAGTTAAAAAGTCAAAAGAGACTAAAAAACACACAAGGATTGGTTTGTTTAAAAATATCTTGTGATTTTTTTGGGGCATCTCAATTTTAGAGGGTTCTGACTCATGATTTTGGTTCTCTTAAGATTGGCAATACTGAAGTTCTGTTTTATACACTATTTAATAAAAAAAATCCTGCTGGGGAGTAGTATAGGCCTGTCCTTTATGTTCCAATAATTATCAAGTACTGCATGATTTAGGTGCTGGCTCTAAAGGAGGAAGGATTCTGTAAACCAGAACCCTTTGCTCAGACATCTAGTTACAAATTTTCAGTACAGTGCCTCACTGCTATACTCACATATAAATGAGGGCCAATCTATATTTAGCCCCAATTGAAAGAAACACTTATAAAATAGCAAAAATATATGTTAAGCACACATGAGAGATTGATGTCCCACTGCACCAAAGAAAGGCTGTGTCAGCATCAGGAATCCTGCCCTGCTTTATCTTCCAGTCACTGAGGCTGGGGCCCCATTTTGTTAGGTCTATACATAGAGAGAGTCCCTGATGCGAAGAACTTACAGTGTAAAAATGGACAAGACAGACAAAGAGGATGGAGGAAAGGAAGCGTTGTTATCCCCAACTTACAGATGAGGGACAGAGAAATTAAGTGACTTGCCCAAGAGTCACACAGGAAGACCGTAGCAGAGCAGAAACTGAACCCAGCTCTCCTGAGTGCCAATCCAGTGCTTTATCCACAAAGCCCAATCTTTCCTCACACCACATCTCAATATGAATTTGACTCTAGTAAGCTTTATCTTCCCCGATCATCCAACAGTTGGATAATCCAATATAACTCAGTGATAATACTCTAACAAAACATATAAAGTGAAAGTCCAATTATTCCCCTAACAACATAGAAGACAAGATGAAAGAATTGTTTAAAAAAAAAAAAAAAAAACCAACCACACACAATCCAGAGAATTAAATCACTGCTTTTTTAATTTATTTAGCCCGGAGAAGATAATTACCTTAATGATTTCCAGGTTTCTCAGATAGAAATTTTAAATGAGTTAAATCAGATAAACTGGATATCAAAAGACTTTACTCCCAGATGCTTTCAGAATAATTGCAAGATGAGAGACACAAATGTTTGGACAGAGATGCAAATATTTTCAACAACTCATTAAATAAACTAAACAGGATCGGAAATAGCTGAATGTAGTATAAATATTCAAGGCTGGAAGTGGTCTCAAAGAAATGTCAGACTTGTTACTGTCCCATGATGCAAATATATTATTTAAAAAAATTAGAGCTAAAATAGCTTGTTTATTTAATAATACCACTGCTTTTTGGAGGTGGACATGTGTTTTTAAAGGAAGATAAAAGTGAAATATTCTGATCCCTGACTGGATCTGCCATACTGCAGTTTCCCAAAGGATTACATTTAGAGGACACACCAAAACAGTTATGAGATTTATTTCGAGCCTGAAATACATACAACTCATTCCCAGACTTTCATTCCACAAGTACATTACAGCACCACTGCAAATAGTAACGTGTCCTGACAAAATGGGAAGTATTCAGCAAACTAACTAGGAGGAGGAATGGTCAGTACCTATTAGCCATCTGGGGGCAAATGCTCAGCTGACATAGGTGGTCATAGCTCCACTGACTTCATTGGCACTGGGAGCATTTATGCCAGCTGACCATCTGCCCCTTGAACAGTGCCACTTTGGACTTTACCACTCCCTCACTAGGGACTGATCACTCAAGCCTCTGTTTTCTCTGCTGGCTGGATCTCAATCCTAGGAGATCCAGTCCACTTTAAGCCTTGTAAATCCTGCAAAGAGCATAGCTGTAACACCACACATCACTGGAGGTCTAACAAAACTCACTACAGCAAAAACTGCTTCCACTGCAGGCTGGAAAGGCTCCCTCAGACACTCCGTGCACGTCTTAGCAGGACCAACTGGTTGCAGCCGAATGTCGGGTGGGTTGTTGGGAGTAGCTGCGTAAGTGACGCTGGGCTGGGGAGACCAGGCAATTGGAAAGGGAAGGCTCCCAGATTAAAATATCAAGAAACTGGAGGAGCAGAGCAAATGGTTTTGAGAATTTTGCCTTCAGACAAAGATGTTTTGCAACAGTAGCAGCAAGGTAAGTACACGTATTCGTCGTTCACAACATCTATAAGCCAAAGTGAGTGTGTGGTTAAAAAACAAACAAACAGTCTTTTTTCAGTTCTGTAGCTAGGCTTGGCTGGTTCAGACCATACAGGTAAAATATGCTGTCACTTCGGGTAGATCTAAACTTGACTTTTTAATTGTGTACAAACAATTGTTAATAGGCCAGACACAAACATTTGTTCCTAGTGGAGTTTAATCCTAGGCAGCAGAAGGTTGTCTGAGTAGGAACAAACACTTGTGTCCAAGTTACCATTACTCAATTCTAGTGAATTCAAGTTAAACAAGTAAAAATTTAAGTGATCAGACTACTGAATTCTGCTGGTAGAAGTTACTATGTATGTAACTACAGCCTGGTAGAGAGGGATGCTTGCAGGTTTGCCTAGAGTAGCAGAACCCCTACAGCCAGTAATGCTTATAGCAAGCTAGTGGTACATTACAATATCTATGCACCAAGGACCCTATTCTTCCCTACATAGATATAACTTAAAAGCGTGGAAACCCTGGGAGTTGGCATACAGAGTCTCTTTCCAATTCTTCTGTCTTTTGGGAAAATGCAGGGAGGGCATTTGTTCCCATCCCCAGAAGAGACAGGAGATGTAGCCCCTCAAACCAATAGATCTTGGAAGAGATGCCAAAAGGGTTAGAGTAGAAATAGAAAAGTTCCCGAGAAGGGCAATGAAAATTATTACGGGCAGAAAGACTTCCATGTGAGGAAGAGACAAATAAGAGGCAATGTGACCAAGTATTACATCATGAACAGAGTAAATCTGGCTTTGCTATTAAGCCTCTCATAATACAAGAAACAAGATGACACACCATAAAAGAATAAATTTCCAACTGATAAAAAGTTGTGGAATTTTTAATATACACACACACAAAGCTATGATGGACTCTCACAAAACAGTACTGAGGCAAAGAGCATAGCAGGGTTTAAAAAAATCCCATATAAATATGAGTAATAAAAATACAGTTACACAGGGTAAGAGAAAACACCATGCTGCAAACAAACCACTAACTGCCTGGGGCTAGGAAGAAATGTCCCACTTGCTTAGGTTATTGCATAATGGTCCAGTGTGGGGGCTTTATACCTTCACGTAAAGCATCTGGTACTAGCAATGGTCAGAGACAGGATACAGGACTAGATGGAATACTGGTCGGCAGCAGCATGGCAGTATCCATGTTCGGGTATCCTCAATACAAGAGAGGCATTGAGGATACCCGGACACTGGAAATGAACGTCCTGGACTGTGAGATGTAGATCTGATCTGCTAGCTCAGAGTCACTGCAGGATATGAGTAACATTGAAGTCAGCAGGAGTTATATCCTGTAATGAGGAAAACGGGGGCCCCTGGCTACCTCAGCCTTTGATCTTCTGGAAGTGCTGCTTTGGTGCTTGCTGAGCAGCTGCCAGGACATAGACAACTACATATTTGTATCAGGTGCTTAAGTGCCAGCCACTGTGATGAGTCAACCAGAGCCACCTCACAACCTCAGGGTCAGAGGAGGAAGGAGGCTGAAGTTTAAAACTACATTTAAAATATACTACTCATAACATCCATTTTAAAGTTAAAATGTCTGAGATTTTTCTTATGTGTATTCACTATAATTGGATCCATAGAAACGGAGGGAACATTCTTATTTCGTTTAGTTTTCAAGAGTGGTGGGAGCAAGAAGAAACTGATGCAGGATGGGAGGGTCCATAGAGTTCCCAGTGCTTTTTCTTTTGAGCCTGACAAGTGGCTCCTTCTGAGGCCTGACCACAAAAGATATTTTCTCCTTCTGTGCATACAAGTAGTTGGATTTCCAGGTTGCGCAGCAGGACATAGCTTTGATAGTCTTCAGCATGCCCACCATTCTGTTTCTCTTCTTAATCAGCATGCAGCCCACCCGTCATATTTCCACTGGCGAGTCCTCTGCTTGAAACTTGCGCACACACACAAAAACAAAAACAAACAAAAGACCACAACACCAACAACACTTCTCCAGGCACCAGACTTTCCTCTCCAGAATGCTTCCCAATCATAATGAGGATAACCCTCACCTACAACAGAATCATGGATTTTAAGGCCAAAGGGACCATTGCGACCATCTAGTCTGACCCTCTATATAATACAAGTCAGAGAATTACATCCAGTTATTCCTGCATCCAGTGCAGTATATGACTGAACTAGGGCAAGTCCTTCAGCAAGATGGAGTCTTGATATCAAGACTGGACAACAGAATCAACCATTGGAACAGATAATCAAGGAATGTGGTAAATTACCTTCAGGGTTGAAAATTTTCAGTTTGAAATTTGTCTATCTTTAAACTTCCGGCCATTGGATCTTTTATGCCTTTGCCCACTAGATTAACAGAAATCTTTAATATCAGATATCTTCTCCCCACATAGGCACTTATAGACCAAATAACCTCCTAGCCTTCTCTTTGATAAATAGATTGAGCTCCTTAGGTCTCCCACAGTAAGTCCTCCACGTAAATTTAAACCTACAATTGGGAGAATAACTGATTTTGTTTGGTTTGCTGGCAGTGCCCCATTTAAAAATATATATTTGGTTCAACCCAAACCAAATCCAAAAATTGCAATAAAAAAAAAAGTGAATTGAACACTCACCTGGGCTGTGGAAGACTTGGGTGCAACTCCCCCCCTCTGCCTGATGTGGAGAAGGGATTTAAACTTGGGTCTCCCATTTTGTAGGAGAGCACCCTAGCCATAGGGCTAGGGGATATTCTGGCAGAGAGCTCCCTCCAACTCTCCCGTTGAAGCTGTTCCACTGTGTGTAAATAAAGAATCATTGGAGCATTGACTTGAATGTGGGTTTCCCCACATCCTACGTGACTGTCCTAATCACGAGGCTAGAGAGTCATTTTCACTCTCGTTTCCTAGCCCAATGATCCCATTGCCATTATGAATGATCTCCAATCTTCCCCATCCCTCCATTAACAGCCTCAGACAGAACCTTCAGATTCAGATAGAGCTGACTGCTATGTTCACCAGGGGAAGACAGCCATAGCTAAAATTAGACTAAACTTTAAAAAGTATTCATGACCAACAGATTTGTCCTGCATTTTGTTGCTAGCATTCAGGATGTGTCTAGAAAGTACTGCTATTACTATCAACTTTAGAAGGTTGCCAGCCAAGGTGGAGGAAGAGCATCAGCTCAGGAAGCAGTCTTTAGTTGGGGTATAATATACAAATAAACTCTATGTTGCTATTGTGCAACAGAGCTAATAATAGGCAATCAAAAATCACAGGCCAAATACAGATACTGCAGTTCCCTGTGCTGCCGAAACCATTTCAGGTTTTCTAGCATCCCAATTCTTAACAGTCAAACCTAGAGGCCTCATTTAAAGTGTCAACATCATTCCAGATGGATAACGTCACACAATAGTTTGTCCAGCAATGCAACAAAAGCAGAAATGTTCTTAAAAGAAAGTCTTCTGTGGAATCCTCGAATGGGAGACTCTTGATGACCCTACTCTGAGCAAATCTCTAGTGCAGTGGTTCTCAACCTTTCCAGAGACCTGTTACTCCTTTCAGGAGTCTGATTTGTCTTGCGTACCTCCAAGTTTCACCTCACTTAAAAACTACTTGCTTACAAAATCAGAAATAAAAATATAAAAGCTTCACAGAACACTTACTGAAAAATTGCTTGCTTTCTCCTTTTTACCATATTATGAAATAAATCAATTGGAATATAAATATTGTACTTACATTTCAGTGTATAGTATATAGAGCAGTATAAACAAGTCATTGTATGAAATTTTAGTTTGTACTGACTTCACTAGTGCTTTTTATATAGCCTGTTGTAAAACTAGGCAAATATCTAGATGAGTTGATGTACCCCCTGGAAGACCTGTGCGTACTCCCATGGCTACACACACGCTGGTTAAGAACCACTGCTCTAAGGCACTGTGTACATGAAGATGTTCCATTGGATTAGTTTGTTCCCTCTAGAAACAGTGAACTAACTATCACAGAATCATAGAATATCAGGGTTGGAAGGGACCTCAAGAGGTCATCTAGTCCAACCCCCTGCTCAAAGCAGGACCAATTCCCAACTAAATCATCCCAGCCAGGGCTTTGTCAAGCCGGGCCTTAAAAACCTCCAAGGAAGGAAATTCCACCACCTCCCTAGGTAACGCATTCCAGTGTTTCACCACCCTCCTAGTGAAATAGTTTTTCCTAATATCCAACCTGGACCTCCCGCACTGCAACTTGAGACCATTGCTCCTTGTTCTGTCATCTGCCACCACTGAGAACAGCCGAGCTCCATCCTCTTTGGAACCCCCCTTCAGGTAGTTGAAGGCTGCTATCAAATCCCCCCTCATTCTTCTCTTCTGGAGACTAAACAATCCCAGTTCAACTATATTGAACTGAACTCTCACCGCTTTGTTATGCTGGTTTAAAGTACGTTCCTTATGAATCACTGCATACACCGCTCTATGCTTGTTTAAATTAACTATGAAGCATTCTGGGTAGATATCCCGAGAATACCACAGTACAACGTTCTGCCACTCAGTGTGTACAGTGGTATTCTCGCAGTGCGCTGTGGAATGCCTACTAGAACTTAAGGAATTCTGGGACCTAGTATCAAACTCTCATCATTCTTCTCCTGGCATCTGTATTTTGCCAGTGCCATTTTCGCATTGCTGTCAGACAGCATGGAAGACATGCACTGTGATCAGGATGATTTTTTTTCCCCTCCTCAATTTCCTCAAACTTTATCAGCAGAGTTATATTAAAAACCATGTATAAGTTTCATAGGTAACCGATAACACTGCTTGAGCTTAAAAAATAACCAAGAACATAGTGCAAACACAAAACCAATGGAACTGTGGCATGCTCAAAGTGTAGCGTGCTCACACGCTCCTGTAAGCTATTTTTAGTTTCAGGGGGTGGATTGCAGTGGGAAGAACCTGAAATTTAGTTGCTTGAAAGGGTGATCCCAGTATGGCATGCTCCCCATAGCTTGCAGGACAGTGCTAGGATCAGGCGCTGTGCTTGACCTTTGTAACAGAAGGTGCTGCACTGCAGCTATTGCCTCTGCATCACATTTTCCAGGACCACACGCTCCCTTTTGAGCCTCTGAGTGTGCTCCAGGAAGCCATTCCCTCCACACTTCTGGGCTTCCCAGCCCTCTGCTGGGCTGCAGTCATTCATCCTTTGAACACCGCCTCTTGCCTTTTTCTCCTTCTGAGGTTTGTCCCTCTCTCAGCAAGTAGTAAGTCCCCTGTATGTGCAAGCTGGGGCATTGCAGGTGCTGAGGGAAGTCAGAAAAAGACCAAGTATTTATCTTCCCAATCCTAGTTGCTGTGCCAGCACTGATAAAGGGCTGCTTTTCCCACCATTTGGGGATGCCATTCCCATCTCTTCTTCCCATACTGGGGTTTGCTTTGAGACAATATTGTGTTTTCCAAGTTTCCCCTGCCTTGTATAGCACTGTAAAAATGTTGGGTGGGCATAGGCAGGCTAGTAGTTACATGTGCACTTCTGCAGGCTGTCATATGTCCTTCTGAGACAAATTCCCCAGGAGACACAGAAGGGTCTTATTCAAAAAGGCAATGGGCAAACCAGAAAGCTATACAGCCCTGTTATTGGCTAGGAGGGTGATGCTCCAATTGTTGCAGGAGTAGAAGGAGGGAAACACTAGCTATATACAGGTGTCCCAGCAGAGGTGCATTGCCTTCTGTCTTAGGAATGTATATAGCCCCTATCACAATAGTATCAAATGCCTCAACACCCCGGTGGAGGTAGAGGATTATTCTTATTCCCATTTCACAGATGGGAAACTGAGATGCAGAGAAGCTAAGTGACTTGGCCAAGGTCACACGGGAAGTCTGTGGTGGGGCAGGGAACTGAATTCGTGTGCCTCAAATCCTAGACTAGGGTACTAACCATTGGACCATCCAACCTCTCCATCCTTCCATGTAATTTGTGCGCACCAAGAGAGCACTGTCTGTCTTAAGTTCTCTTTATGACACTCTCCCCTCAGTATAAGGTGCACTGCGAAATATATAAAACTGCAGTAATTCTTCTGAACCCAAGAGTTCCAGATAGCCAGGAATGAATGCCTCGTGGCTTAAAATGTCTATGCATTCTGAAATATCTTTGAAGGCTGGTTGGGGGAATTTCTCATGTTAGCTAAAAGCTGAGGGCTTTTATAGAACTTTGAGCCAAGCTACTTTGTCTATTGCCGTTTCTGACTGTATTTGCCAGGCAAAGCATTTGATTTTTAATCACCATGGTGCTGATAGCTTGAGGGGCAAAAGGGGGTCCACAACAGCAAGCAGCTCAGGAAGCGGACTGGGGGGTGGCAAGTGGGGCCAGTGATTATGGGATTGGATACTACAGGGAACTAAAACTTGATAGTGTCGATTCTCTGGTGTAGATGCCATTTTGAGCATAGTTATAGGGTGAGGGTTAAAATGCCAAGCAGCTGGAGAGAGGCTCCCAGCTCCAACAAACATAGTGGTGGACAGCTAGTACCCAGAAAAGGTTGTTTTGTAATACAGCCCATAATACTGACTGCTACAGCTCCCCTTTGCAGCATTTTCAGGCTGGCTGCTGGAAGAGCTCTGTTCCACTGCATGGGGTTTCCCGTGTAATCTCTGAGTCTGCTGGGTCACACAGTTCTTGCCTACCCAGAAAAAAAATCCCTCCTACTTGGATCCCCTGGATTTTAGGGCAGTCAAAAGCACCCGTGTGGATTTTGGTTGCTTTCTGGAAAGCTTTCCATCACATCATTTGTGTGTCGTGGCGGTGGCATGAGCATCCCTTCAAAAAATGAAATTCCAGGTACTAACATTATGGGGAGGCAGTGAGAGCATTACTAGAAGTCTTGTTCTGGTCCTTTGCCTTGGACTGGTGCTCCTGGGCTTTGAATCAGCACTGGCCCCACCTCCAGGAACATTCCCTCATCTTCATTTGCTCAGAAAGCATCTGGTAGATGTCTGCATTCTGGTGACTTCTCCAGATTGGACTGAACATGCAGCTCTTCAAAGAGGGCAGTCAATTCCAGGATCTTTGCAAAGGTCTACATGGAAGCAGGGACGGGGGAGCATAGCTGCTATAACAGGTATACAACTAGGTGTGTGACCTGGTATCCATAAGGGTTATACCTGGTTAAGTGCTAATGTAACCCACACGCCTCCTGGGTGTGGTGTTCTGTCCCATCTAGTGGCACCAAGACCACTTAGAGAGAGAAAATGAGTCTGCTCTGCAGCCTTAGCTAACAGCCAGTTGGCTTTTAGTGCATGCAGTAGAGCAGGGGTCAGCAGCCTTTCAGAAGTGGTGTGCTGAGTCTTCATTTATTCAGTCTGATTTAAGGTTTCATGTGTCAGTAATACATTTTAACGTTTTTAGAAGGTCTTTCTATAAGTCTGTAACATATAAACTATTGGATGTAAAGTAACCTTTTAAAAAAGTTTAAGAAGCTTCCTTTAAAAGTTAAATTAAAATGCAGAGCCCCCCAGACCGGTGGCGAGGACCCAGGCAGTGTGAGTGCCACTGAAAATCAGCTCACGTGCTCCCTTTGGCATGTGCAGTAGAGGCTCATGCACTAAATTCCAGAGGTCCCTGGTTCGATCCTGTCCACTGATGACCAGGGTCTGTCAGCATTACACTAACATTTAAACAGAGAGATGACACCCAATTACGATGACTCTGGAGCAGTGGAGGGCACACAGGCAGGCTGTTAGAGGTGTGATGCAGGGCAGTGTAGGATAGCATTGGGAAGACTGCCAGCAGTGGAATAGTTAGGAAAGGGACCAC